TCAGGTTTAAACAAATTATATCTGCAGGTTGCGTGTGTATTATCAATGATTAAGAAAAATTCTAAACAGACGTTACTTTCACCTTAGGCTATTAAAAAACATTTAATTTTTAATAGATCAAATAATGAATTTTTTTTATCATAGATTATATATTGATTTTTAAATAAAAACGACATAAAATATTAAACACATATTGTATAAATAATGTGTAATTTAAATATTTATTTTGTAATTCGTATTGTTTCTTTGAATGTAGTGCCAAAAACCTTTTAGCAGATTAGATTGATTTGTTTTTAGAATGAAACAAATTTTCAAAATCTCAACTAAAAACAACAATAAGCGATAACCAAAAAGGGGAAAGAAAGTTTAACGTTCAAAAAACACCCAGACCCCACCGAGTCGAGGAATACGTTAGCCAAACAACAGCAGCTTCTTCACTCTAAACAGAAACGCAGAAAATACTTCCCCCTTCCCATCATCTATCTATCCTCAAAGGCGCTCAAGCCACCAAATAACGAAATCTATTAATCATTTTTACGGGATTTGAAAAACCTACTCTTTTTTGCGGGAAATCAAGTCCAAAAGATTGAGATTGGTAATTTAGTGAGGTAGGAAAAACGAAGGAAGAAAGGTCAGAGTCAGTGGCAGAAGCAGAGCAGAAGCAGATGAAGAAGGCATTGATTGAAACAATGTCGGGTTTTAAGGAAAATGTAGATTCGCCGTTGAAGAAGAAGCCCTCGAGATGGTCAGACATTTGGCTAAAAAACACCAAGCCATTGAAGCATGTGGTCTTCACTATGCCCCCCTTCAGTCTTTATCTTCAGACCCCAAATCTCAAACCCTAATCCCCAATTTCGCCAACATTGATCGAACCCTTCTCTTATCCGACGAGCTCCTCTTGGATATCCTTTCAAGGCTGCCCCTTTCGCAACGGAACCCTAACTCCCTCGTCTGCAAGCGCTGGCTCAATCTCCAAGGTCGCCTCGTACGGTCCTTAAAGATCCTAGATTGGGATTTTCTCGAATCAGGTCGGTTGTTCACGAGGTTCCCCAACTTAACTCACTTGGATTTGCTCAACGGCTGTTTGTTTTCGCCGCGAGATTCCGGGATTCTGTTAACCCATAAGCTGATTTGGATGCAAATGAGTTCTGGCTTTTGTTCGAATTGCAAGTTCTTGCAAGAGAATCTATTGCCTGCTGAAGCTGTTGACAAAGGGATGCAAGCTTTGGCCAATGGCTATCCAAATCTTCGAAGACTTGTGGTTATTAATGCCAGCGAGTTTGGGTTGTTAACGGTGGCTGAAGAGTGTTTGACTTTGCAAGAACTGGAGTTACACAAGTGTAAAGACAACGTCTTACGTGGGATTGCGGCCTGTGAGAATTTGCAGATCTTGAAACTCGTTGCAAATGTCGAAGGGCTTTATACTTCGTTGGTTACAGACATTGGATTAACTATCTTAGCTCAAGGATGTAAAAGGTTGGTTAAGCTTGAGCTTAATGGATGTGAAGGGAGTTTTGATGGGATTAAAGCGATTGGGCAATGCTGTTTAATGCTTGAAGAATTGACTATTTGTGATCATAAAATGGATGATGGATGGTTGGCTGGATTGTCTTATTGTGAGAACTTGAAGACTTTGAAGTTGTTGTCTTGTAAGAGGATCGATCCGAGTCCGGGTCAGGATGAGTATTTGGGGTTTTGTCCGGCTCTCGAGCGGTTGCATTTGCAGGAGTGTCAGTTTCGGAGTAAGAAGAGTGTTAGAGCGTTGTTTAGAGTATGTGAAAGTGTGAGAGAGATTGTTATTCAGGACTGCTGGGGATTGGACGATGATATGTTCAGGTTTGCAAGTCTTTGCAGGTACGGGATTGCCTTTACTTTGTTCTTCATGACTTCCTTGCATTTTTCTTTTGTCCATTTTGTGGTTTCATGGAATATAAAGTTGGTCAGTGAATCATTTAGTTTCTATATTTCACTTATGGAATTCTTTTGTGCCCATTGACATGGCCTGAAAGTAGAGGAAAAAAGGGTTTCTTCTTGTCGCAATGATGAGCCTTTATTAATGCGATGAAGTTCAAATGATAGTGAACCATTTGTTGATTGGCTTAGTAATATGTTATATATCACGCACGGTTAATCGATTAAATACGGGTTGTTAGACTGGACTGGATAAATGCAATTATGAGTTTCACAAATGCTTCTTTCTGCTTATAAATTCCCGCCTTCAAATTCCTTTACCTTTCGGGTAAATACCATGTTTTTTGCTCACTGTTTGCAGGGTGACTAGTTCTTGAAATGTATGAGAAGGCTTGGTTTAATTCTTTTCTGATATACATGATCATAGTTCTTGTTAGGTAGCTATATGATGAACATCGATCACTTTATGATCACATGGATGGTAAAATTGTTTCTTTTTCAGAGGAGAGTGAAGTTGACATATCTGAAACGCGTTTGAAAGTTTTACAGTAGCTGGTTTCTTGTTGTCACAGGAGAGTAAAGTTGTTATCTTTAGAAGGATGCTCGTTGTTGAGGACCGAAGGTCTGGAAGCAGTGAGCCTTTCCTTTAAGGACCTGGAAAGTCTTATAGTGGTATCATGCAAGAACATAAAGGAAAGTGGCATATCTCCTGCACTTGCGACCTTGTTCTCTACTCTTAAAGAGTTGAGGTGGAGGCCGGACGCTAAATCGCTACTCGTATCAAGCCTTGTAAGAGCCGGCATGGGAAAGAGAGGTGGTAGATTTTTCAAGAGGACATGAGGTGCAGAATTTCTCTGCTGATGTTCCTCTAGTTCTGACTTATTTTGTAATATAAATAGTTTCTCTAAGACCAATAAGCAAAGTATAAACTAGCTTAGCAAACAAACAAAGGATCTCCTCATCTGACTGTCAAATGCTGATGTACTCCTTTTCTTTACGGAAAACACTTAATTTATCTGCATTCTGGAATTTTAATGTATGTACTTTGTAAAGAGCATTGAATTTTTAGTTTTTAATCTTTCCTTTTTTTGTACCTTTCATGTTTTATGCATTTAGTCTCGGATTCAATGAGACCCACAACTCTGCAATGTGAAATTGAAACGGTTTTGTATTACATACAGGGAAATGTGTGTAAATTAATTCATCGCACAATTTTGTTACATACAGTGAGTAGAGTTGAGCCCTGGAAATGGAGTTTAACTTTATTGTTAGGATGGTTTGTTGTTAATGATTTTAAATTTATATTTAGATTTTAAATTGTTCATTCATTCATTATATATGCTAAATTTCATTTAAATATAGCATCCATATTCATTTTATGAACTTACCAATATTATCATTAATCACATTACCTAATTATCTAACCATCAACTAAAACATGAACCTTTACCAGCATTAATCAACTAGCTTACTTATGTACACAACAAAATAATCTAAAACGTAAACATATCATCTAACGCCATCTACACATACCATAAGTTTATTGACTAAAGCAATATCATAACAAAACATAGGATTTCATAGGTAACATAGCAAGTTAACTACAAATAAGTGCATAACTTGAATAATAACACCAAAGTGCGAAGAACATAAATGCTTCCTCAAATTTGACCATTAGCTAGTCAATTGTGTTTAAATAATTTTATATTTATAATAAAGATTGTTTAGTTTTACTTGTCAATCATATACATGATATCATATAGGCTTAATGAAAAAGTAATTGTCCAAATTACATCGTTTTGTTCACTTTAAGTGTCTAACATATTTTTCCGTTTAAAGTACGTGTCTAACATTTTTAACAATACTCTCTTAAGTGTCTGCGTTGTAACTATAGTTAAAAATCGTTATTTGACACATATCTCTTTTATAAATTTTTAAACTTTTATTTTGAAAAACTTTAAAATATATATATTAAAAAAACACCCCAAAATTTCTCTAAAGTAAAAAAACTAAATTAAATATAAACTTTAAAATCCTTAATATTAAACCCCCATTATCAGCCTTCATTGATCACCACTGCTACTGTTGTTGCTGCCGTTACCGACCAATCCCCCATCCATCGCGGTTGCCACCGTTTGCCAAACCTCAAAAACTGTTCATGTCTCCAGTATAACAAAGTAGAAAAGGTGTTCAATGCTTTGTAACCCTCTTGAGAAGTTAGAAATAGCCGGGGGAAGGTTTTCGGAGTACGACCAGGATACTTGATGGTAATTGGAACTTCGGCACAAGTAGCGAGAGAGAAAGCCATGGCCATTCGATGACTAAGATCATAACTCAGGGACAAAATGTAACTTTTTTTAAAAGTAGGAAGGACAATTTATAATTATCTCATAAATATTTAAATTTATTTATAAATTAAATACTATATTTCTTTTTGCTGTGTTAGGGGCCACAGCCCCTCCTGTGTACCTAATAGACCAATCTCTAAATACTGATGATCGATGACACAAATGGCGACGATGACAAAGGGAAGAGATTTAGAGTTTGGATACGTGGGATCGAGTTTTACGGAGGGCATTTCATAATTCGGAGGTCTTCTATGGAAGCTGCTCTCAACCTGGTGTTGGGGACAGCTTACTATCTTACCTCCTCCTTACCCCATTACATATGGGAACAAGGGACATCAATTTTTTTAAAAAAATTTAAAATTTCAATAAAATATAAACACCACACATGTTAGATAATAACTTTTTAACGATCGTTATGTTGCATACACTTAAAAGAGTAACTTTGAAAATATTAGACAATTACTTTAAAAAAAACACTTTAAACACATCTATATTGAACAAATGATATAATTTTTTTACTTTTTTTTTATTAAACTTATCATATACTTAAATGCATTTAATTTCATAACAACATATATAAATTTATGTCATGTGTCAATTTAACTTCATAATTAGAAACAATTTATATTATTATAACTATCATGCCATTATATTCACGTATCATACTACCATGATTTTATCATTCATAGCTTAAAAACATGGATAAATGTCGTTTCTTTACTTCATTTATTATTAGGCCTGAATTGCGTTTCATTGTCAATATATATATATATATATTAGGACTAAATTAGTAACATTATTGACAGTGTCAACTTTAGCAAGAGCAGATATAGACTCTGCCGATGATCCCTCTGCCTGCAAATAAGAGCCAATAAGTTGCGAGATCAAGGTAGAAAAGTAAATCCATCTTCAGATCCACAAACTAATTATAAAACCTACATCAAATCCAATCTTATTTCATGGCATTAAAACTTGACAAAATATAAACGTAGGATTACTCAAACAGTAAACTTTTTAGCTTAATTCGGTATATAAGAGGATTAGAGGAATTGAATCTCAATTCAGCTCAAATTTAAACAAACAGTATTCCATGGCATTAGAACATGACGAAATCTAAGCGTAAGATTAACATTTTATCTTATGTCTGTATGCAAGGGGAATTGAATCTCGATTCAGCTTAAACTTAAACAAATCCTATGATTTTGACCTCCGATGAACAAGGACCCTTTCGAGTTTCCAGAAAAAGTTCTCGAGCAATATTGAAATGATATAAGATCTGAAAGGCAAGTAGCATACCTTCTTGAGCTTGTCGAGGATGCCAGCAACAGAATTGCGGAGAGAAACGGCATCGTCTTGAAGACGGAGAACATCACGGGTAGCGCGAGGGACACGGAGGAGAGCTGAAGAACCTTGCTCCTCGAGCGAAGCGGCGATCTCTTCGGAGACCATTTGGAGCTTCATTTCGAGATCCACCGTGTGCTTGTCGAGGGAATCCTGAGGGTGCCGAGTTTATCCATTTGTTCGGATCGAATTTCTCCTCTGAAAACGGTCCTAGATCTAGCATCATTGTATCTTTTCTTCAGACCTCTAACGCTAAAAGGTCGTAGTTCATAGGGCGATTCTCTTGGTTTTCCGGAGAAAGTATTTGTTGCGGTTGCTAATGGTGCAAACCATAGATACGAGAGTGGAGTTGAGATGCCTTTCGGTATTAACAGAGCCGTCGGCTGTGAGCTGTGGACCGTGGGCCTCTACGGTGACGTGTAGAGATCAATTTGGCCCATTATGACAGTCGGACAAAAAATTTAGCCCATTAGACGCCTAAAACATTTAATTTGGGATCTACGGTAAATAATTTTTTAATGGGTCATATCAGGTGAACCCCACAGCCTGATTAAAACAATTTCTTGAGGGACTCGTCACATCGGCGTGATGAGTCTCAATAAAAACTATTTTTTTATTTTGTACTTTTTTAAAAGAAAAATTAAAAAATAATATTTTATTGCCACACCGGCGTGACGAGTTCTAATGGGTATAATTTTTAAATTTTTGACCGTTGGATTGACCGCTGTTAAACAGTCGATTTTTTTTAATTTCAATGGAACTTGTCACGCCGGTGTGACGAGTTCCAATGACTATTTTCAATTTGAAAAAACTAGTCGTTGGGTAGAGTAATATAAATAGAGGTTTGGATTGGATAGATTTTTCACTTGTAATCAAACATTCTACTGAGAGCAAAAACTTTTGTGTTGAAGAATTTGTGTTGAAATGGTCTCAAGATTAGAAACGTTACGTCTTGATGAAGTTCACATTTCGTCGATCGAGTTGACAACGGTAAGTTTAATTTGTTTTATTTCATTTTAGTTTTATTTCATTTTAGTTTTGACAAATTTATTGTATTAATAATAATTATTTATGTAATTGTATTAAATAATTTATTTTCAAATTGTAGCGAGAAAAACGAACCAATTCTTCATCGAGGAATGACGAATGAAGAGCCATATCAGCGGATGGTGATATATCTTTCACAATCCGGATTATATGTAGCGACATTTCTTCGTGGATTTAAGGTGATGTCGGCACTGATATCGGCGTTGATTGAGCGTTGGAGGCCCGAAACGCATATGTTTCATTTACGTTGTGGTGAAGTGACGATAACTTTGGAAGATGTCGTGTATCAACTTGGCGTTCTGATTAATGGTATATCAGTAGTGCTTCACAACACTTATAATGTAAATAATATTATTTTAAATTTATTGGGAAATGAGGCTCCAACCGATGTCATTGATGGGTTGCGGGTACGGATGACGTGGTTGGAAGGAGAATTTAGAGTAGATGAACAATCAACGGAGCAAGAGGTGATATATGCAGTTCGAGCATATCTTTTGACGTTGATTGGAGGGATCTTGGTACTGGATAAATCAGGTAATTTGGTGCACACCCAATATCTTCCGGTAATGGAGGATTTCGTTGTATATCGTCAATATAGTTGGGGTTATGCAATTTTGTCGTTTTTGTATCATGAATTATGTAAGACGGTCGTAGTCGTTAGAGGAAAAAAAAAGTGGATGTACCGTTTTTTTAGTTTTGCTCCAATCATGGGTGTGGTATCGTCCCCTGTTTATGACGCCTATTACATCCGCTCCTATGGAGTTTCCTCTCGCCGTAAGGTAAATTCATATATTTAAAGTTTTCATATTTTATAATATTTATTTAAATATTTTGAAAATGACAATAAATTTTGTAAGTTTTTTTAGATAGCGACACCGAATAATCGATACAAAGTTCGGGTGCAACCAAAGTAGATATTCAGATGAGAATTGATATCCCCGGTAGACATGCGCTAAATTTTCGTATTTTTTGCATTAACTTTTAAATTGTAATATTAATTGTTTAATTATACTAACATAATACTTTTGACAGTTTAATTGGATGTCTTATTATGAGTCGGATATCTAACGGTGTCTACCGCCAATGTTCTTTGAAGGAGCGAACACATGGTATGCCATAATACCATTGCTCCATTGATTCTGAAAGTATTCGTTCCTATCTCTTGGACGAATACATTACCATTGATTATGACTCTATTGCTCGTGCTTTTGGTCTCGAAAACACCGGGATTGATAATGAGCGAGATATCATCCCTTCTTCCTTAGAAGTAAGAATGTAACATCCCGAAATCCAAGTCAGTGACTAAAATGAGAATTTTTGAAATTTAGTGATAAAAGTAAAATAGTTTAATAGTTTAATGACTTATTGGAAATATAGTTGAAGGTTGTTTGGTAATTATTGAATGAATTAAAGGGTAAATTGGTCATTTGATAAGAAAGATATTTTCCCCTTTTATAAGAATGAATCACGTGGGGGGAAAGAAAGAGTTATCTGGGAAACTCTATTCTTCTTCTTCTTCCTCCCGTATCTCCAAGCTCAAAGGTAAGTTTGTGATTTCTTGATTATTTATTGATTTAAAGGTTGGGTTATGATCACTAGATAATAATTAAGCTTAAGGAAAGTTTAATTTGTTCTTAAACAACAAGATGAAAGATATATGAGAGATTAAAGATTTTGAGTTCTTGAATGAAATCTTGGAATAGAGTTCATTACTCATATTTGAAGACAAATTTGACTTGTCATCCACTTAATTAAGGGATATGAAGTGATGGAATTGAATTTAGAACAAGTAGAAAATTTAGTATGATTCTTGGATTTCATATGGAAGATAGAATTTTGAGTTTAAAGAAATGATTATGGAGTATAAGTGAGTTTAAGTATGTATATGAATGTTAGGAATATTAAAGGAGGTGAAAGATGAAGAATTAAGCAGAAAGAGAGTGAATTCGTGCTTAAAATGTAAATTTTGGGTTGTGTGCATCGATGCATCTTCAATGTGCATCGATGCACTCTCAAATAATGAACATCGAATGCAATCAGTGCATCGATGCATAAGGAGTGCATCGATGCATAAGGAGTGCATCGATGCACCTACTTAAAATACAAACATCGAATAGGATTTATGCACCGATGCATGGATAGTGCATCGATTCACCTGTCAAGGGATGCATGGTGTGGCATTCATTCATTAAAAGATAAAAATAGCTTTCTTATTAGCCTAAGGAATGATAGTTTAGAATATATCAATTAGTATACTGATATGTATCAATGTATTAATATGTAGATTTAGAACGTGATCTCGTTCCGGAATAATTGAAGGATTAGAATCGAGTCAAGCAAGGCTAAGGTGAGTACATATTAGAAGTATGGTACAAGGGAATAAGACTTGTGATAAGTCTAATTCCTATGTTGATTTTCATAGAACAATAGTTATGAACATGCATACATGATAATTATTATGATAAACGCATAAAGTATATATGTTCATATGATTTGATAAATGATATATATGAAAAGACCCAAATGCACATGTGATATGATAAGTGATATGAGCTATGTGATCACAAGAGAAATGACATGAACACATGAACACATGAAACATAAGACCATGGTATACGATATGAGAGCTATAGGTATAGTTGGCATGACAAGAGTCGAGGGTTCTATGTGGTTATTCGGGATATATATGTATCCTTTGGAACATTTTCAGTGTCTTGGAGACAGATCTGATCCACTGGAATATGTATATGGTTCTTAAGGAGTGGTCTTTCGGGATAAATACAGTACATAGGTCATTCGGGACAAATTTCATAACCCCTAGTGGGACTCATACGAGCTGTGGTGACAGCATAGTGCACACAACCTCGATGTACTCGAATACCTTGAGTTCTCAAAAATGTACATGGGCTTATAAAAGGTTATCAAAGGTAATTACATGGTTATAGTTATATGTTATCATATTATTATTGTTTACATTGAATTGTATACGACATGATTGAATTGATAGATTGCATGTTCATATTCATATTGAATGCATTATTGTTATATTTATATGTCTCACTAAGTCTATGACTTAGCGTGTAAGTGATTTACACGTAGGTATCAAGAATCAGGAAGAGTGGAAATAGGGTTGCAAGAACAGCAGCACTGTTAGAAGATCAGATTAGAAGTAACGGATAAAGTATGTCTTTTGTCGTGTATATGGTTGGCATGTAAGAAAAGTGTCTGTTACAAATGCTCTGATCAGTTTTGTCTTGTTTTGGTTAACTTGTGTAAAGTAATAATGTTATTTTAATGAAAGTTTTAAATTTCTTTGATTTTTCGTCAGTAGTCAAAGTTTGAAAAGTCAATGTGACACCTCAGACTCGTATCCGGGACGGGTACGGGTTGAGGGTGTTACAAGGAAAGAGCGCTAGTATCCTTGACTTCCACGAGCGATTTCTTCACTTGATTATCTCTTGGTGGTTTCGACCATCCGAAGGAAAGTATTCCTATTTCCAAAGTATTGGCATTTGGTGGATCCATTGTTTTCAAAACAATAAAAGAATTAATCTTACTCAAATAATCTTCGGTGAATTAGTGGACATCGTGAACCATATTCCCTCTAAGAGAGTCAAGTCTTTGGTTTATGGTTGTCTTCTTAGTAATTTCTTTATCAAAGTTGATTTTAAAGTCGACCTATATGTTGTCATCCCATTGGGTACCCCAATAGATTTTACCTCTGTTCGCAAGTCAGGATGGACTCAAGTTGGGACAAATTGGGAACGAACACCTAAAAAGACGTACGGTGCTAGTTCTTCTCGAGCGGCTCCAGCTCCGACTCCTCCTTAGGCCGATGATGTTTTACAAGATGTTAATGATCCTGTAAATCGCATCCCTGACGAGCCTCCGAGCGCTAGTAATGATATGCCTCCCTATTTTCATTCTCTGATTAATACTTTAGATCTGAGGTTTGCATCTATGGAGTCCCATTTTATTGCCTTGGGGACTCAATTGACCGAGCTACAACGCGACACCCTAGCTCGATTCGATGCCGTGACGGATAAGATCGATGCTCTTTCACAAGATGTTGCCTATTTTCGCTTACCTCGTTCGGATCCCGATCCTCCATCGGATGATTGATCATGTTATTGCTTTTCTAGTTGTTCTTTGTTGGTGTTTCAAATGCCATACTTTGAACTTTCAGTTTCCTTAAATTTATTCGCATTCGATATTTTGGATTTGGTTATACTAATATATTTTGGATGATCAGATTTATATTTATCATATT